AGCTTTTGCACAACACAAATTTGATAAACCAAATGACGCGCTTGAGTGGTCTGTTGTTACGCCATGGAAATTCTTGCCAAGGTTCATTTGAGTCTATTTTTTTTTGCTTTAATTAAACTTTTGCCCACTGTAAGTTTTCCGTTTCCATTTGGAATGGATCTTGTGCCGCCGGTTACCCTTTGAAGTTGAACCAAAAAAGGAGGGCCAGCCATAAATGTGGCATCCCCAATTGCTATATGGCTGTGGGCAGCAGATTTGCATCGACAATTGCATAAGAAAACTAATTAAAATCGAAATAAATGCTAGGTGATGAGTCATTTAGATATTCTATCAATATGGCATATCAATTTGTTTTTTATTATATTTTCAGCTTAGATTTTATATTATTTAAGAACGTAGCTTGTCTTTTTACCCTTCAAATTATAGTTACCCAATAGAGCCACTGTGTCTCTGGCTTTGTTACCTTTATTGCTAGCCTGACTCTGGTGGCACTTTGTCATATTGCAGTGGCATTTTGGAGCTGCTAAGATGCGGAGCACTCAACACAGACACTTGGTGGCCATGTGGGCGAAGTTTATCTTGAGGCTGAGGAGGACCTACCTTGCTGCAAGGTAAATATGGCCAAGAAGCTGTCCAGCAAAACCAAGCACCACCAAGTACTCAAGGAAAACAAAAAAAAAAAAAAAAGGAAAACTCAAAACGAGAAAGGAAGAAAGGCCAAAGAGTTAAAGGGAACTGGTAATACCCTTGATCGGGAGTAATAATATATGTCTTCAAAATATATTCCTTGACTTAGCTAAATCTAAATATGACAAACCTTCTCTGTAGTCATAAAAACCCTTTTGCTAAAGGGTACCAAAAATAACTAAAGACAGACAACAGCAAGGAAAAAAATAAAGTTTGCAATAAGTTTTTGGCTTACAAATTTGCCAAACAATGCAGATCGCTTGGCACGACGTCGGGGCTCCTTGGGACTTGAAACTCGCACAACTGGCGATTTGGAACTTTCGACTGGAGGAGGCCGGCGATCCGCGATCCGCGATCCGCTATCCGCGATGCAAGACTCTCCTCCTCGAGTGTGAGTGGCGGCGGAGTGTGGGGCAATTATGGCTGGCTGGCTCTCGACATGGGGATTCGATCGCAGCTCGACTCGTGGCACGCGTCTGCCTTTAACAGACCCCACAAATTATGAGGGATCCCCGATCCCCCCTCCACTGCAATCTTACGCCACTTTACAGCTCATTGGAAGGGGCTCAAGTGAGTTTCTAGAACAAGTTTCCACTATATTTCGGAAATTTTAAAATTTCCTTACAATTTCCATGCTCTTTTCTCGGTTAATGAGATGTCGCGCAATATTATATCTGCAGCCAAGTTGAATAAATGTATTTGCAAATCGGAGAAAAAAACACAAAGACCAAAAGGGTTTTCGGTTTGCCGAAATGGAGCAACGGTTCTCTTTTTTATTGTATTTTTTGCTGTTGCTGTTTTTTTATTGTAAAGTTAAAACAAAAATTTGCAAACTTTTGCGGTTTGCGATTTATTTTCTGTGCCTTGGCTTGTTGCTGTTGTTTTGTTTGCTAGTTGTTGTTGCTGTGGCAGGTTCACAGCGAACACGACAGGAGGAGCAGGGAGAGGAAAGCAGGGAGCGGGTTTATAATGGTAACGGGAAACTGTCCAAGTTATCCAGTTATCCATGTGCCTAACGCAGCAGTCGAAACGAGAGCAAAAGTAGCCACCGACATCGGTTGTCTTGGTTGTTTCGGCGGTTGTTGACGCTGCTGTCTGCACTGAGAGAAATTTATATAGATATATATTTATATCTATCTATCTATTTTCTATATTTTTGGGAACAAAAAATGTATCTAAAGGTCGGTTTCTAGTTATATCTCAGCTTAAATAAAAGCAAATTGATTTTCGTTCTTTTGTAATTTAAACGATCGAAAAAGGCTAACAGGATTCTGTTAAACAGTTAAAATGTGTTAATTTTGTAATATTATAATTTATATTTAAATTATTTATGAGTTTATAAATTTATAAATCAATTTGCTACGCCTGAAATTCAAATATTCTTAAAAGAAACTTTATCTGCCCGTTAAATTTTAACAGACAGCCGCTAAAACTATTAGTTTATGCATTATATTTAAAAGATAATGTATTCTCAAGCCACAACAATATGGATAACTTTGATATATTATTTATTTCTCTTTTAAGAAATAGTTCTTATGAACTAAACTTAAGTTCCTATTAAAAAATATAGTGATATTTAATGTATATATTTAAAAGGTATTGATAGACGCCAATGATATGTATGTTATCTTTGACAATAATAAAAATCACAATTTTTTGAATATTTAGAATAATATGGTAATCTTCCTTATTATTTTCCAGTGTTTTTTGCCTCTGCTGTGGCGACTTTTCGCTTTTTTGTTTTCTTAGCAGCTTAGCGCCCGCTGTCCTCCATGATTGTCCCCATGCCCCACTGCTGGGGAGTGTGTCCACGTACCAACATTGGCCTAATGTTGCACATTGTGTGCTGAGCCTGATCTTGTTTATTATGCAAGAAAGCTGCCAAAGTGAGCCAAAGCCGAGCGCTATATAGTACGTATACGTACGACTGTAGGAAAGCCACAGGCACGGGCACGGGCACAGCCAAAATGGGAACAATCACAGAAAGTAAATTCGCAAAAGTAAAATTTTAAAATTGAACAAAGTGCCGACAAGAGAGAAAAATGGGTAGTAGAAGTTTGGAGTTCCAAAGTAAGGTAAGCAAAAAGTACATACTTCTGGAAAACTTTAAGAATACAAAACAGGGGCTTAATGAAAAATTTAGGGAAATTAAGAGTCTGATTTTTTAAAGATAACCAAGTCTCAATTTTAAAGATAAAATAATGATAAATCACTGATAAAAAGAACTCTTCTACATTTAAAATTATATGAATAAATTATAAAATAATGTTGTAAAGTCCCAGTTAAACCTTAATTTAAATTCAAGTTAAGACAACATTTGTTTCTTTCATTTGCTTTAAAATTTAAGTAGTTTATGTAGTTCACATCGAATTATAAAAAGTTCACGCACAGCTATTTATTTACGCTGTTTATGGTCTTTTTCAATTAGTTTCTTTTCGTTTAACTTTTAAAATCACTTTCACAACAAGGGCTGCCGCCCATTTAAAGTGACTTATTTATTTTTAAGCTATTTAAGCCATTATCAGCCTCTGTTATCACTCGTAAATCACTCTTATATGTATTACGCATACCTTTTTTTTGCTAATATTTATGGTGTTTCTTTTGCGGCACTAACTGGATCTTGTTTCGGTTTTGTTAAACAATTCGATTGGCGATAAAAACCCAAAAAAATACACATAAATTGCCATATAAATAGCACATTTTAAGGCACGTACCGTTATACGTATCAAGGCGTTATTTTAACAATTTTACGCGTTGTACGAATTATTTGATTAACATTTTTAAAAACAAAAAACCCAAGTTGCTGCGAGCGCGCATGTTGCATTGCGACTAAAATCGGGATTGGGAATCGGTGTGTGATAATGGCCCAGCGGAACGCAATGGAATGAAACAGGGCACGCAGCGGAATGGAACGGGGCTCAATGGGGAACGAAGCTCAATGGGGAACGAAGCTCAATGGGGAACAGGGAACGGAGAGTGGGGAACAGAGAATGGGGAATGGGAAACAGGGAACAGAGGAACGGGGAATGGGTAGCAAAAGAATATGTGGCACAGCCGCCAAGTGGGCGGTTCTGCGACTGCGCGTAGGCCTTAAAATGCTAGTGCAATTTGCTTTTGGAAGAACGCGATCGCTGGATGAGGGAGGGGACGAGACTGGGGGTGTGTGTGGGTCAAATCCAGACGGGGAGTGGAGCAAAGCCCCAACACCGACTGACGCCGTTTCTTTGTGACATATGGAACTGGGTCGGGTCAAGAGGTAAATGCTTAAAATGCTCTTTAATGCCGCAAAAAAGAGCTGCCAACTTGTGCTTGTGGTCACTGCTGTGGGGTTCCCATTTTCTTCTTTTTTTTTTTTTTGTAAATCCAAAACTGATGGATGCGAATGTTGGGCAACTGATGGATGTAGTAACTTCAATATATACGAACATATAGCCTAAACCGATTTGGAAATTATCGTAGAGAATCGCTTGGGAGCGTAAAATTGGTAGTTTAAATTAGAGTAGGCTCAAAATATGCGAGTAAGGAGGAATTACATAGATATAAATGATATAAATTTATAATATTTTATTTAAATTAATCTATTGATATTTTTATTTATTTTTAATTTCTCTTTTAAATTGTAATTCTTGATCCATTATTTATTTTATTATGCATTATTATTACTTTTCCAAATAAAACATTTATGATTAAAAATATAATATTAAAATTAAATCATAATTAGTGTTTTCACTGGATAAATTATGCTTTTCTATGAAAGAACAAAACTGATCCAAAAGAGGTATAAACATCAACTATAATATATGTTCTTCCATTATATATGTAATTTGGCATTGGTTTCAGTATAGCGTTCTATTCCCTTGCTAAATTAGCGATAGAAGGTTTTCAATTTCCTATAAAATAAGCGACCTTGCCGCGAATTCGCCACCGGACTTCCTTCCCCAGAAGGTAAAGTGGGTTCTAACCAACACGCCTGTTCTTTCATGGGCAAGGTCGTCTTTCGGCTGGAATGGCCATCATCGAGATGGTTGCGGTTCAGTGGGATCGGAAGTGCTTTACTTTACGCTAAGCCTAAGCCAAAGCCAAAGCCAGAGCCAAAGCCAAGACCCAAGCCCGGTCAGCGTTGCAGAACTGCAGATCGGATCGAGCAACAATGGGATTAATATATTCGGGTCATTCGCTGGGCAAAGCCTATTAAATCGGCATTTGCATTGTGGACACAACGAGATATTATGGATATGAGATGTTCTGCTTATCGGAGATGTATTGAGACGCATATATGCATATGTGATTAGACCCAAAATAAATCAGCTTACCTCAATCGCCGGATCCAGACGCTGGAACAGGTTCAGTTTTCGCAAAAAAAAAAAATCTTTCTCACTTGGCGGTTATTATTTTATTTGTATTTGTATTTGTATTTATTATTTTTGCACTCGCTGAAATATTCTTTAGGATTCCATCGACTATATACACACCATAAATTAAATTATTTCATTTGCATTTTTCGGCTTATTTGTTGTTGTTGTTGTATTTCATAATTCAGCAAAAGATAAAATACAAATAAATTATCAAATATACACGAAAACCAAAACAAAAATTAAACAAAAAAAAATCATAAAGTAAGAGTGATCATTAACAGCAATTAAATTCATTTAGCACCGTAAGTAACTCTTGGCCAAACTCATCACGGCTCATTAGCGCAAAAGCTGGGTTAAAATCAAAAAAATATATATATATATTTTTTTTTGTTGCTGATTTACCCGCATGCTGGGGCGGGGATATATAGATTCGATCAATTCATAAGCCGCGACACTTCACACCCGCTCAGTTTTCTGAATGACTGACTGACTGGTTCCTTTTTCTCTTAGCCGGGCCAAAAGGAAGCAGAGGCAGAGGCAGAGGGAAGGCAAGGCGTCAGCTCTGGCCGAAAGCAAAACACTGACTGACGCGCCGCTCTGAGCCAGCTTGATAATAGCGGTCGCCCCCCGTCTAGACCGACAAAAAAAAAAACTAAGCAAAAACGAAACGAAACGAACCGAGCCGAACCCATGCGATCGTGGCCGAAACGAGGGAAAAATGGAAATGAAACACGTCGGAGAGTTTGGCCAAAACGGGGCTTGGATGAAGCGGGCTGGATCCCGAAATATGCTAATCACAGGCCAGCGGATTATTAGGCCCAGGATTAGTCAGTGGGGGCGTCCAAATGGGTCGTAAGTGCTCCGTAGATCAGTTTACTGGCCAAAACTGAGATTATAATTTTGAGGAGTCTTGGGTGGGGTTATTAAGAAAGTTGCATAGCAATTCAATTAGGTTATAGAAAAACCTTAAGTCTGACTAGCAAAAATGGTAAGGAATGCCTTTTAAAAGGTCCCTAAAAAGTCAAAAGAGTTAATTTTTCATCATTTGCAATATTCTTTTTAAATATTAATAACATTTTCAAATGTTTCTTTTAAATATTTTAGTTAGAATCAATTAAGATTTATATGTGGAATTAAAAAATATTAAATAATTATATAACACGTGATCCTAAAAAGCCCCAAAAGATACAAATTATAGGGACTTTATATTGATATTAAATATCGATATAATAGAATTTTTACAATTGTAAACTTTTAAAAATACATTATATTTCATTTAATATTATTTAATAATTTAATATTATTTAATAATTTCATATTATTTGTATAATTTTAATAATATTAAAAAAAAAATTGCGTTCCGACTTTGAAATGTGCCAATTCTCGATATTTATCGATAACACCTAAAATTGTATTGAATTTCGGTTAGTTTTTTTAATTTTAATTCTTAAAAATTCAAAAAAAATTTAATAGGCTGATTGTTTTAACATTTTCGTATTTAAATATAAGCCTTTTTTGCTTAGTTATGATCGTGTTAAATTTGTTTATAAATTCAATAATTTTAAACTAGTTTTAATCATAACTTGAATCAAAATTAAAGCAAGCAAGCTGAAAAGAAACTAAGGAGGAAACCCCGAAATTATATTTTACCTTGACTCTTTTTCCTCATTTCTAATGCAGTTTTCCCCATTCTTCGGCGTCGCTGGGAAATGGCATTTTCACTGCACGCCACCGACAACACAACCGCATCACGAAAAAGGGAAACCGCTTCTGTCAACGGCTTTATCGCGAAATAATTCTCGCCGCAAAACAGCTGGAAACTGAACCACATGGCCCACAGGCCACAGCCACAGCCACAGCCACAGCCACAGCCCGAGATCCAATCCAATTGGAGGTAACGCGAAAGTGAAAAGCGACTGCACTTTTCCGAGGCTGCAGCTGATAGGAAAATTAATTTATGCCCGCCATTGTCTTGTCTGCAGTTTTTTTCCCTTTCCCAGCTGCTAATTCAAATTTTGACATAATTTTTTCACTCGCCTCTGTCGCTTGCTTTCTCGCTTTGTCTCTGGCCAATTTCACTTGACGTGACCTTTTCTGACGGGTTTGCCTTTGGCTGCACGCCAAAAAAAACTCGTTATCAGTGCAGGGGAAAAAATAAAAAAATATTAGATCTTGCCAGCACTGCAGTATCATCTGCTTAAATACATACCTATACTTTTAAATAATTTTTTAAACAAAAATGTGCGAAAAACTAATTTTCAAAGATCCATAACTCAGCCAAAAATGCATGAAATTCGAAAAGCGGTTCTGAGTTCGTTTTTCTAAGCTTAACAAAGCTGCTTACTCAGTTTTACAGAAACACTTACCTGTAATTTTTAAAGAATTTTTCAAACAAAAATGAGCAAAAAACTAAGCTTCAAAGGTTCATTATTTTGGGGAAAACCGCCTCATTTTCAAATGTTCATAGCTCAGCCAAAAATGCATGAAATTCAATTCGGAAAGCTGTTGTGTGTTAGTTTTTCTAAGCTTAACAAAACTGCTGAAATACTGAAATACTTACCTGTTATTTTTAAATAATTTGTTAAACAAAAATCAGCAAGAAACTCAGAGATTTCAAATCAACATTTTGTGCCATACTTTTGGGGGCAATTTTTAGAGATATTAAAATCCTGGCGATTTCTAGATCTTTTTTAAATCTAAAAAAAATTCGGAGACGGAAATCGATAATAGAGATATGAAATCGCTGATAGAATTTTTAAATCAATATAAATAATATAAATTTAATGATTTTATAAATTATTGTGGCATACTTTTATGCACACTTTTAATTGTTTTCAAATCGAAAGCTATAGTTTTACCACCACCATTTCTCAGTGTGTGGGCCCTGTCTTGAGTGGGTCTGGAGCTGTGCCTGTGCCTGTGCCCGAGCTTGTGTGTGGCTGTGCCCACTAGTTGTGGTTGTGTTCCAGCGGCCTTGGAAATGTGCAGTTGCTGGCTGATTTATAATCGACCCGTGGTGCCACAAATCAAAGTCGTACTGCCGCGCTGACTCATTTGCGGGGCTCCTGCACTCCGTCTACAGCGACCTGTTGTATGCCCCGCTCCTGGGGAATCGGAATCGGAATAGGAATTGGAGTGCCAGCCAGAACCCAACGAACCACCGGCAGTGTTGTTCTAAGTGTTCTGACCTTGCTGCCGGGTAAGTGGCCGGTCATAAATTTAGGCATTGCGCAAAAAGGCGCACAGCCACAGCCCCGACTCTGATTCGATTTTGATTCCAATTGCAATTCCGATTCCAGCCTCCCAGCAAGTCCAATTGTAGTCCCCAGAATCCGTGTCCGAAAAGTGAATTGTCGCTGACACTTTGAATAAATTGCTAAACGATTTGGCAAGCGCCAAAAAATTTAATGGCAAAAAAGGATTTTGGATTTGCCCAAAACAAATCAACGGTAACTGAATTTATTGGCCAAGTGAAGTAAGTTGACTTTTGGTAATGATATCTCTGACATTAAAATTGTTTGGTATATTAATTAATATGTAATATAAGTTATAATTTTAAAATTAAATTCATAAATGTAATATTTGTATATAAATACGATTTTAAAATTTAAAAATGCTGCCTTTACCTTAGAAAATAATCAGGAAATAAATAAATTCAAAAATTCTTTGAACTATTTTTAGATTACGTTAACTTAATTTAAAATATTAATGCCATTTACCTAAGGCTCTTTAAGTTGCCAAGTTTTCGGAAGTTTTTCAGCTTTCAAGCCAACAAATTTTATTATTTAATTATTTTGTTATTTATGCCACTTGGGCTGGTGGCTTTTGTAACTGTAACTCTAACGGCAAGAGTCATGGTAATATTCATAGATATATATGTATATATTTTTATTATAGTAACTGTAACTACAGCCCCACACAGAAACAGAACGTTGCCACACCTTTTCTTTGGAGCTGGATTTTTGCACTGCCTGATAATATACATATATGCACCTATATTGTGTATATATAAATATATGCTTTATTTTTCATTAGTTTGTGTTTTTGTTTTAGTTATCTCGCCCGCACATTCGACTCACACACAGACACAACACAACAACAACAACAACAACAACAAAAACTCACACATGGCGAAGGGAAAGTTGGCAACGCGAAAAACTCGACGCTGGAGTTTCGCATTTTGTAGATCAATCTTAGAATGGGCTTGTGCCGTTAGCCGGCGGCAACGGCGCTCACTAAAATGTGGTTTGTCCTTGGAGAATGTGGCAAAAAGGTAAAAAAAAAAAAAAAAACAAATAATATAATATATATATGTATCTAACTGTCTATGCCCACTGTTACCGTATCCGTGGACACAAGGAGAAATTAAATGGGTTAATTCTTACTTATAAAATATATCCTGGAGGTGTTTTATTGTTACCATGAGCAAGGAATATTCCAAATAATTTAAAAATATAATTATAATATTTAAAAATGTTATAATTTAATAATAACTTTATAATAATTTAATACTAGTTAACAAAAAGGAGAAAATCAATGAAAATATTAAGATCAAACCTTAGTTTTGAACAACTAAAATATTTCGATATTGGGTATTTATGTACATTAAAAATATTGTTTACATGCAATATTATTTATGGATTAAAAAAAGTATAACTTAAATAGTTATTAATTATTATGTATAATTATTCCTTGAAAAAAATGACTATATTTAATATGAGTATTCAAGGTTTTCTAAGTGAAAAATACATCAAACATTATTTTAATTTACTAGGAAGGCACAGGAAAAAAGTTTCAATAATTTGAAATTCGTAAAATAATTTTAATATTATACAGAAAATAGAATAATATATTTTCTTCTGGTGCACAAGGTACTCGTATGCATTGCACATATAGGCACGAATATAATTGTGCCGTTATGTTTAGCGTTGGCGCCGCACCCAATGGACCCCACATCCCCAAGTCCCGCGCGCTCCTTCTCGCCCCGGTCCCAACCATCCCCTCCTCCAATTAGATTCGATCGGGCAAGTTTTTATTTCTCGTTGTTATTGTTATTGTTGCAGCGATTGCCTTAGTTCGCCTTTGTCTAATGGTTTCGATTATTGGTTGCTTTTATTTTCCGCCT